AACAAAGATATTTGTATCAGAATGTTTATTGCAGCCCAGTTCATAATTGCCAGGTCATGGAAGAAGCCCAAGTGCCCATCGATCCATGAATGGATCAACAAACTGTGGTATATGTACACCATGGAATACTACACAGCCATTAAGAAGGATGGAGACTTTACGTCCTTCATGTTCACCTGGATAGAGCTGGAGAATGTTCTTCTGCGCAAAGTATCACAAGAATGGAGGAAAAAGTATCCAATGTACACACCCCTATTATGAAACTAATGTATACCTTTTATATGAAAACTATAACCAAATAGCCTAAGAATATGGGGGGGAGGGGAGAATGGGTGGAGGTAGGGGGATTGGAGGGATCACTTCTGAGGTTTATCTTACAGGGGTACAAGTGAATCTTTTTAAGAGTAGCACGTGAATGTTTTAAATCAATAACTGAGAAAATGACAAGAAGGCTCTGTTGACCAGTTTGAAAAAAATAAAAATAAAAACATAGATTGTTTGAAAATAAAAAAAATTGAGAAAGATATATAGGTTGAGCACCACAAATCTGAAAATCCAAAAATGCTCCAAAATCCAAAACGTTTTTGAACGCTGATATGACACTAAAAGGAAATCCCAAATGTTGGACCATTTGGGATTTCATATTTTGGGGATTGGAATGTTCAACCAGTATGCATATAATGCAGATATTCCAAAACCTGAAAAAAATCCAAAAGATTTATGGTCTCAAACGTTTTGGATGAGGGTTCCTCAACATGTACCATGCTAACAGTAAGCATAAGAAAGCTACAGTAGCTATAGTAATAACAGTAAAAGGTGTTTTATAATAGATATAGTACTATCAGATAAAAAGTATTCAAGACAAAAGGTTTTACTGAAGATTTTAAAAGGACGTCTTTTTAATTGTCCCTTTCTATTAATAATAAAAAGGCAATTTAACAGAATTAAATGGAAAAATAGACAAATCTACAATTATAGTTACAAGTTTTAATACCTGTCAGTAATTGATAGAATTACTAAACAAAAAGCAAAGACACAAAAGATCTGGCTAACACTGTCAGTCATCTTAACCTATTAGACATTTATAGAATAACTTTATCTAACAACTGCAAAATATAGGCATATGTCAGAGATATTGCAGGTTTACTTCCAGACCACCACAATAAAGAGACTTACAATAAAGTGAGTCTTACTTTTTAGTTTTCCCATACATGTAAAAGTTACATTTACACTATACTGTAGTCTGTTAAGGGTACAGTAGCATTGTGTCTAAAACAATGATGTACATACCTTAATTTAAAACTAATTTATTGCTAAAAATGCTAATGATCAGTGAGTTGTAGTCTTTTTACTGGGAGTAGGTTTTTCCTCAGTGTTGGCTAATGACTAATCGGGCTGGTAGTTACTGAAGGTTGGATTGGCTGCTGCCATTTCTTAGAATAGGGAACAATGAATTTTGCCAAATCAATTCACTCTTCCTTTCACAAATATTTCTCTGTACTATATACAATGCTGTTTGATAACATTTATCCACAGTAGAACTTCTTTCAAAATTGGGATCAATCCTTTTAAAGCCTGCTTCTGCTTTAGTTTATTTAATTTAAATCTTTTGTTGTCATTTCAACAATATTAGCAGCATCTTCACCAGGAGTAAATTCTATCACAAGAAACCACTCCAGGTTTACAAGCCTGTAATCATGGAACTTTGGGATGCTGAGATGAGAGGATGTTTGAGGCCTGGAGTTCAAGACCAGCCTGAGCAAGAGTGAGACCCTATCTCTACAAAAAAATAAATAAATAAATAAATAGAAGAAATTAGGCATGGTGTACCTGTGTACCTGTAGTCTCAACTACTCAGGACTCTGAGGCAGGAGGATCACTTGAGCCCAGGAGCTTGAGGTTGCAGTGAGCTGCCCAAGCAACAGAGTGTGTGACCCTGTCTCAAAAAAAAAAAAAAAAGAAAAGAAAGAAAAAACAAAGAACTACTTCCTTTGCTCATCCATAAGAAAGAACTCCTTATCCTTTCAGGATTATCAGGATATTAGAGCAATTCCGTCACATCCTCAGGTTTCACTTCTAATTCTAGTTCTCTTGTGATTTTTACCACATCTGCAGTTAATTCCTCCACTAAAGTCTTGAACCCTTCAAAATCATTGCTGGAAAGTTGGAATACACCTCTTTCAAGCTCCTATTAATGTTGGTATTCTCACCTCCTCACATGAATTGCAAATGTTCTTAGCGTAGAATGGTGAATCCTTTCTAGAAAGTTTTTGATATGATTTGCCCAGATCCATCAGAGAAATCACCATCTATGGCAGCTATAGCCTTAAAGTTGAAATCACTCCTTGATCGATGGGCTACAGAGTGAATATTGTATTATCAGGCATGAAAACAATATTCATCTCCTTATGCATCTCTATCAGAGTTCTTAGGTGACCATGTGCATCATTAATGAGCAGTAGTATTTTGAAAGGACTTTTTTTTGTTATATTACTGCATAGAAAACACGGGGTTAATAAGAGCCACTACTTAGCACTTTTTATATACAATGTCATGATAGTCATGGCAAGCAGAATTCATGCCCATTTTATTCTAAGGAAAAAAAACTGAAGCTCAGAGAATCAGAGCATTGCTGAAGCTGGAATTAGAATTCCAGGCTATCAACTCCAAAGTATGCTCTGAACCATCCATCATACATGGATTATACTACCCCTCAAACATATCTTTTAAAATTCTAGTTTCCCAAAACAAAAAACATAAATTGTCACATCTTTTAGAGATAAAGACCTGTTATTTACCTAATACATTTAACCACTTTCTATAAAGTTTCTTGCCTAAAGGAGACTGGTAGCATTACTATTTATAGTTATACTGCTAACTAACCTTCAACTATTTGTACAGCACATAAGAAATAACACTGCTCACATGTAAAGAAAGCATGTCAGTGGAATGTACACTGAAAGGAATCTTTGTTTTATTCTGAGCAGTAGGTCTCAAACATAACGGACATGCTGTCATCCAGGCTTTGTTCTTCTATTGACAGACCACAAGCAGAATAGATTTAGCATAATTCTTAATGGCCCTCAGATTTTTCAGAATGGTAAATGAATATTAGCTTCAACTTAAAACTCACCTCTAAGAAGTGATGTAGCCTGTCCTTTGAAGCTAGGCACGGACTATTATTATCTAGCAATGAAAGTCCTAGATGACATCTTCTTCCAATATAAGGGTGTTTTATCTACATTGAAAATCTGTTTAATGTAGCCACCTTCATCAGGTATCTTAGCTAGATCTCAGCTAGCTTCAGACTTCTGCAGCTTCCTTTCTCTCAGCTTTCATAAAATTGAACAGTTAGAGGCTTGCTCTGGATTAGGCTTTGGCTGTTGTTTTGGTTTTTTGTTTGTTTGTTTGTTTGTTTGTTTTTTGCAGTTTTTGGCTGGGGCTGGGTTTGAACCTGCCACCTCCGGCATATGGGGCTGGCACCCTGCCTTTGAGCCATAGGTGCCACCTCATGGCTGTTTTTTTCTCCTATCCAGACCACTAAAACTTTATCAGCAGCAAGACTGTTTTGCTCTCTTATTATTTGTGTGTTCACTGGATTAGGACTTTCAGTTTCCTTCAAAAACTTTTCCTTTGCATTCACAGCTTACCTAACAATAGCAATATCTAGGATCACAAAACCATAAAACCACATAACCACAAAAGACAAAATAATGAAAAAGTTTAAAATATCATGAGAATTACCAAAATGTGACACAGGGACACATTTGTGAGCCCAGGCTATTGGAAAAGCAGCACTAATGGACTCACTAGATACAGAGTTGCCACAAACCTTTAATGTGTAAAAGATACAGTATATCTAAAGCACAGTAAAGTGAAACACAATAAAACAAGATATGCCTTCACCTTTTCAAATGGTCCATGGTACATTCACCAGGGTAGACCATGTACTAGGTCATCAAATAAGTCTTAATAACTGTTCAGAATTGAAATCACACTGAATATGTTCTCAGAGCACATAGAATTAAGTTAGAAATCGGTAACATACCTAGAATACCCCCAAATGTTTGAAAATTAAACAACACATTTCCAAATAACCTGGGGGGGAAAAAAGAAATCACAAGGAAAATTAGAAAATACTTTAAGCTGGGAGTAAGTTCAAGAACTCTTATTGTATAGCATAGCAACTATAATTGATGATAAATTATATTCTTGAAAAATGCAAAGATAGTTGATATTAAATGTTCTTACTACAAAAATGGTAAGTATATGAGGTAATGGATTTATTGATTGACTAGATTTAACTATCCCACAATGTGCATATACTTCCAAACATGTTGTTGTATACAACAAATACATACAATTTTATCAGTTAATTTAAAAGTAAATAAAGTGGGTGGCACCTGTGGCTCAAAGGAGTATGGTGCCCGCTCCACTTGCCGGAGGTGGCGGGTTCAAACCCAGCCCCGGCCTAAATAAATAAATAAATAAAGTACTTTGCATTGAATGATAATGAAAGTATGGTATCAAAATTTGTGGGATACAACTCAAGCAATGCTAAGAGGGAAGTATGTATGACTTTCAACACTTATGTTAGAAGAAAGGAAGATACAAATCAGTTTTCTAAGGTTCTACCTTAAGTTAGAAGGGAAAAAGACAGAGCAAACACAGTTAATAGATGAAATGAAAATAAAAACAATGGGAGAACTATGGTGGTGGTGGCAGCGATGCACAAGTCAGACATATGTATACCCCCATGATTTGGCACTCTCACTACTCATATATACCTAACAGTAGTGAGACTGTATGTCCACAAAAGACCTGAACAAGATTATTCATAGTGGCATTATTTGTAATACTCCACACTGGACACTACTTAAATTCCTGTAAATATTAGAATGGATAAATAAATTTTGGCATATTCATACAGTGGAGTGCTATGTAGCAATAATGTAAACTATAATTCTTCAGCAATAAATGAGTGACAAAGATAGCTGAATCTTGCAAGCTTAAGTATAGTGAAAAAAGGTGGACACAAAAGAGTGTATACTGTATGATTCCATTCTTACAAAGTTCAGAAACAGGTGAAACTTTCGTGTGCTAGTTAACTGCCAATAGGTATTTACCATTGGTAGGGGATCATGAATGGAATTGGACCTGATGGGGCTTCTTAAGGGTTAAAAATGTTTCACATCTTGTTCTGGGTCCAGATTACATTGTGTTCAGTATGTGAAAATCCATCAAGCTATACTTATGTTTGTGTACTTTTATACATATATGTTATACTTTAATAAAAATGCAACCAAAATTGTGGACCAGTGAAAATAGGTGATAGTGTATCCTTATGAACTCAAAAATAAAAACAGGCAAGGCCAAATCATCCAGAGCTGTAAGATCCACAGGTTATTGGCATCAGTGCAGGAAAAAGGAGTTGACAGACCATCTGAAAGACCTGACAGGATTCCACAACAGCATATTCACTAAAAAGTATAGCAATCCAATGTAAGGACAGGAACTTAAAGCGGGTGGGATTTTACCTTCCAATAAAAACTGAGTGGGTTCAAGGGACTATGGGCAGAATGTCTAAAAAGGATGGAGCAGTCTAGTCCTTTATAAACTCTTAAAACTGATCCTCCAGATCTCCCCTTCAAGGACAGGGTCCCACACTGAGGAAAAATTACTGGGAGTAGAATCGAAATTAAGCTAAACAAGAACAATAGAGAAGATCCAGGTAAAAGTAAGAGAGAGGACCAGAACCAGGAACTCTTATCAAGCAAGTTATCATATTTCTTTAACTTACATCAAAACTAGAGAAAGATTGTCTGTGTGGAGTCAAAAAAGCTACCCCCAAACCATGCTTCTTTCTAAAGGTTTGAGAAAACTTACTTTGCATAAAACAGAATAACAGATTGTGGTGATGATTGGATAACTCAGAATATACTAAAATCCACTGAACTGTATACTTCGAGTGAATTTTAGTATGTGAAATATAGCTTAAAGCTAAAAAATGAACATAAAACTATCAGAGTAATGTCCCATACAAAATTATTATGGAGGGGAAAGAGTATCAAAAGCACTCCAGAAAGACATGCTCAGAAACCAAAATAAATGTGAAAGATAATATTTTAAAATGAATAGGGAGATACTCAGAAAATAATATAGAACACAGAAGAAAATATAAATAAAGATTAGAAAAACTCAGAAATGTGATGACAGCTAGGGGAACATGAAAAATAAAAATAAATGAATACAGGCCAGGCATAGTGGCTCACGCCTATAATCCTAGCACTCTGGGAAGTCAAGGTAGGAGGATCCCTTAAGTTCAGGTGTTCAAGAATAGCCTGAGCAAGAGTGAGATCCCATCTTCTAAAAACAAAAATTAGCCCAGTGGTATAGCAGGCATCTGTAATCTCAGCTACTTGGGAGGCTGAAGCAGGAGGATAGCTTGAACCCAGGAGTTTGAGGTTGCTGTGACCTGGGCTGACGCCATGGTACTCTAGCCTGGGCAACGGAGCGAGACTCTGTCTCAACAACAACAACAAAAAGTGAATACAACAGAAAGTGCCTTGCTAAGATAAAATAAGGAAAACTTAAAATCAGCAGAAACAAACAGGATTCAAGAAAAAGTGGCAAACATTAAAAATAGCAAATAAAGAGTTTGTATGTGGATAATAGAATTATGAGAAGAAGAAAATCAAAGCAAGAAAATAGAATAAATGCTAAAAAGCTAGTATTAAGGACATTCCTAGAATTTAAAAGAGAGGATTTCTCTTGGTATTGGATGTGACATGTCCACAGGCAGTCACAGTGCTGCTTATGTTCAGGGCACAGATGCTTGGACTGGCTATGGACCTAGGGTGCTGGGCTATGCATCCTGGTGAACTACTGTGATGCCTGTGACCTGGGCACACGTTCACCCTCTTAAGCCCTAGTGGACACACTGTCCCACCAAACTAAGAACTATGTCTCTGAGCTCCTTACCAGTAGCTTGGGCCTGGGACAGGGATATAGCTGTGATTAATATCCTGGGAGTCAGGGCCCAGTACTGAGAAGATGGTATGTTCTGAAGTCAACAGAGCACTGTAGCAGTTGAGGTACCAGGAGAGAGGGTATTGCATAGTGGTGACTCAACAGTGGCCCAGGTGCTGTGATGCCAGGTGCAGTGGCACAAAGGGCCCAGAATGCTGGGGCACAACTGTGGCATGGACTTCATGGGGCAGGGAGTGTGCAATATTGCCTTTATTCCTTAAGGAGGTGGGTGCCTCAGCAGCTCAGATTCTGGAGGGCTGGGCCACATCCAGGGAGGTGAGGTGCTACAGCTATTTGGCACAGAGGGCAAGCTATACAGATTAGCCAACACTTTTCCTGAGGGGCCAAGAGCCAGGCTGTATGTGACCTGGAGCAGCAAGGTTACAGTTGCTCTCCTGGGCCAAGGCTCCAATTCCCCAGGGCTGAGTTACCATGTTGGTTCAGTTGGCGAGGTGGTGCAGCTGTTCCCTCCACCAAGGTACAGCTTTTCCACTGAGCCTGAGTATCTGGTCCCAGAGGAGCAGGACCCCATGTGGGATAGGGCACAATGGTCATTTGATAAGAAAAATCACACCATGTACCTGAGAATTTTGACCTAGAATGACCAACAAGACACATCCTAATATAATTACTAAACCTTAAAGAAAAAAATGTCAAGGACATCTCAGCAAAAGTAGTAGGTGATGTGTAAAGGAAAGAACTTAGATTACGCTTGGACTTATCAACACCCACACTCTATGCCAGAAGAAAATGGAGTAGCAGATAGAGTGGGGTGTGGTGGCTCATGCCTATAATGCTAGGCACTCTGGAAAGCTGAGGCAGGTGGATCCCTTGAACTCAGGAGTTCAGAGACCAGTGTGTGCAAGAGCCAGACCACAAAAAAAAAAAAAAAAAAAAAACTAGCCAGGCATTGTGGACATCTGTAGTC